CATGTATTATATAATGAGCCATCTCACTCTCATTTATAATCTATCCCTGTTAAACAACTTATAACCTGGAATTTCAAAATAATTCCCTCTATTGTTGTTTTCAAAATGTAATGAAGTTTCATTAATTTCAGTTCTTCCAATTTAACTTAAACTCTAAACTTATGCACATAGTTTCTGATACTCCTAACATTAGAATAATAGCAACTGAGTTTAAATCTAATACTTATTTTTAAAGCTGTTATTTAACCTTTTATGCTCGAAATATTTTTTCAGTTTCCTCATTGCTCTAGTTATCATATTAACTTGTTTAATCCCAATTTTCCAAGCTTATATATAATATATAAGCTTGGAAAATATTATATATATACTTTATATTATTTTATATGAAAGCTTGGGAGCATTTTTAAACAATTTGGAGGAAGGTGATGATTTTCCATATTATGGTTCAGAAATGTAATTAAAACCAATCAACTTGTTTTCATTCATCAAATACAAACTATAATCACATAATTTATAAAGATTGTAGAATGCTTGGTTTATTTGTAAGCCAAACAACATACCTTCAAATGGATTGTGTTTTTTGTATTCATGTTTGTATTTTATTTCTAGTTCAACTTTGAGTTTCTGTGTGTATTATTGTGATATTCACTACCTCAGAATCTAGTTACTTTGCTCTCAGTATCTGACTGCCACTTTCAATTGGCCAATACTCTTGGAATGACACACCTCACAGTGTACGTTGATAATATTGCCAAACTAGGATTAGTTTTATAATATTTACTAATTGTTATTTCAAGATTGAACATTTTTACCATTTCAGATTATAATTCAGAGACTCGCACATTCATCTTTTAGCACCCTGGTGGCTCAGAAGTAAGCTTAATGGCTTAGAACTCTTAATTCGGGGTTTAATCCATATAGTGAGCACAACAATATTGCCTGTTGTGCAATATTGTGCTTAACAATATTGCATGCAATATATCTTAATTTTTCAATCCATGTAGAAATTAGGATAAATTTTGTGAAATTATTCATAGTTTGACATTGTAACTAAGATATACCATAACTGGCCATGTTACTCCAACAGAAACGACACAAAAAATATAAGACCAAGTATCAAAGTTTGAATTTTGTACTTGCATACTCACAATTTGCGAGTGGATTTTCTACAATGCAAGTTAGAATTTTTTCTACTTGCAATTTTCTGGAAGTGCATATTTGCATGTGACACAAAATTTGATTAAAATATAAATTCCAAAATCATTACATTTTCAAGTCACTAAAGGCTGATTCATGTTCAATTAGGATAATTTTGTTATGCACCAAATGTAGATTTTTTTCATCTGATTGCTGTCAAGTATGTATGTATGTAAATTCCCCTGTTCATCAAAGCACTCCTCAAATATTTTCATTCCTGCGTGTACTACATCACCAGAAAATGTATGAATCAAAATTATTGTACTAATTAATGTTTGTTTTTGTCTACATTATTGTAGTGGTGAACAAAAATTTACAAGTTTTTTTTAATTGTGCCAATTATGGAAATAAAATTGATTGTGAGCAGGAGTCATTCAGTGACAATGAAAAGCAAAAGTTATTTATCACAGCACCTGTTAAGACCATTAACAAATAGTCAAAATAACTAAATATTGCACATAATATACATTATCCATCAACAGTCATTGAAATATGTTGTATGGTATTGTACAATTTTTTTTTTATTGACCTAATACATAAGAATACAAACTTTTTACCTTAATTATAATACGTGTTACTGTAAGGCTTGAGTATCCAGTGAGAAAAAAAAAATTACAAGTGAGATCAGCAATTTAGCAAGTAGTTTCTAGAGGCAGGTGCAGTTTTTGAAAGTGAACTTAAAAGTAAAATTCAACCCCTGCTATACTGAATGTAAAGTTATTAGCTGCCCAGGTGGGTATTATTTTCTAAATTACTGTTTTTGCGATAGTAACTTAGTGGTACAAGTACATTTATTCTTATTGATATGTTTAACATTTTGCAACTCAAGCTGAGTGTAATACAAGCACTTGATCTGAACCACAAACTAATTCATATTTTGATTGAAACGCTAAACTTGAGCCATAAAATCCAGATTTTACAATTTTCCATTAATTATAGGGGCACAATCAAAATACTTTATTACTTATTTTCATGTAGTATTTCTTCCATGCTTTGCTTAAAATGAAGGCATTTTTACATCAAGTAACAAAGCATTGAATTGTATCAACAGATTTGAAACAATTACTTCAGAATTTTTTCCATGGAGCTGTTTATTCTACATAGTATATAATATAAAATATTTTAATATTTTTTATGAAGCATTTCCCTTTCCTAATAACAATCTTGTGACAGAATGATTTAAAGGCTATTTTTGATAATGGTTAT